TCCATCCCACATACAGGGATACTCCCTGAGCCAAGACACACGGGAGTGGACCTAGGCCCTATCCCAAAGGATATGATAGACTCTGATGACCCTCCCTATGGAAGGCTTCACCATCCAGGGGAATCAGAAAGGATATGTGACTGGTAGGGTTTTAGTTGGGGGGGTAGTAGGGGAGGACGGGAGGGACAAGGGAACTGGGATTGTCATGTAAAACAATCTTGTTTCTAGTTCAAATAAAAAAAATCTGCAAAAAAAAAAAAGAATATATGTGCTCTAGCTGCAGCTTTGCTTCATGAGCTGTAGTGAAGTTGAGCCACTTCTTGAACTTTTAAGGAGATTGTGATTAGTCATTTGTAAAAATCTATATTTGGATTAGATAATCTGCATGGCTGTCTTTAGAACTAATATTTCATGAGTTCACAAAATCTAAGGAAAGTTCTAGAGAAAAAATGTTAAGCAACTTGGCGATGTTAATCTTTTTTTCACAATAGTGTGTGAAGTAGACTGAGTATCAAACAGTTTAAATGACTTTTTCAAGGTGTATAATTAAACATAGCACTCGAAGGCAGAGCTTCAAACTCTGAACTACATACAATTTACTATGACCTGCTATCTTCAAGCTAAAAGGTTCAGCCATAGCTTTTGGCTACCCTAGAATTAGTCTGGGTTTGGTCAATAAAAACGGAAATTGCTAGTACAACACAGTATCAAATGTAATGTACATTACTGGGGATTTTCCCATCTTCATGGGGGCAGAGATTGTGGCACTGAAGAGTAAAAGATCCCTTAAAATGGTGGGTTAAAATGGGAAAAGGTCCTTTGATGAGATCAAATCATCGGTATCATGCCACAGGGTCCTATAGAGAGTGAATATATCACTGTGATATATTAGTGAGAAATTATGTTGATAGATTAGATATTAGCAGATGTGACTGTCCAGTACAAACAACCATGTATATGATAATAATGAAGCACATATAGCACAATAAAGCTATATAATGTACATTTTCTATCTGCTGGATCAGACTCAAGTGATAGCAGTTCAAAAGGTTAGGCCATTGCACATGTAGCTATGAAAACATAAGGAAATGCAGTTGAAGAGGCCCAGTGAAATGCTCCACATAGAAACTGAAAGCCCAAATTCATAGGCTAATTTTTATAGCATCTTATTTATTTCATACAAAGAGAAAAGTGGACAATCCAAATTCTTCAGAATCCAAAGAACTTTTACAATTGAAGATGACAGAGAAAGGCTAGGCCTCTCTTGAACAAAATGTCACCAGGAATCTTCTATTTATTTAAAAAAAATAGAAAATCAATAAAGCAATCTAGGAGAAAAGGCAGGCTAGTATAGATCCCACTAGAGTAAAAGAAACTAAAGAAAAGCATGGAAAATGGGTCAGGGCCATGACAGAGGTACAAAGAAAATTGGGGGCAATCTAGGATGACAATTTTTTAAATGAACAATTGGCTTATATAGGAAGCTAAAAATAAGTAAGAGAACAATATAAATACACATAATTTTGTGTTTTTCCTGGAAGTTTTAAAGGAAAAAATAGCTGAATCTAAATGTAGGCCAGCATGTAGGGAGGAATGTGTAACAAGTTCTTAAGCAGCCTCGTAGGAAAAAGAAAACTAGCCACTTAAATGGCAGGCTCCTTCCACACACCACACGCCCCAGCCTCAATGTATGGAGAAATAACAGTCTTGGTGTATCCAGGGTACCGGGATCTGTGAATCTTCAAGTCCCTGACAGAAAATGTTGTAGTATCTGCATATTACTCAGGTACAGTATGCTGTATGTTTTAATTATCTCTAGATCATTATTAATATTACCTCACACAAGGCAAATTCACTGTAAATCATCACTATGTTGTAATGTCTTGGAATGTCAATCAGGAAAAAAACCTCTACATGTGCAGTAGCAATGCCATCTTCATAAGATTCAGTCTGAAGCTGGTTGAGTCCAACAACATGGCACGTACAATGGGATAGTTTTATTTTGCTGTTTGTATATGGTTATACACATACTGAAAACATAAAATTAGATAACAAAAGGGAAACAGAAATTCTGAGAGTAAAGGAATAACATTTTGTTAATGTAATATACACAAATAAAGTTAATAACGAATCATTACTATAGAAGTCTTACAAACACAAAAATAATTTTTGCAGTGTATCATCCAGGCAGTGTTGACATTTTGAAAAACTTCAGCTACTCACAAATACACAAGTCAAGTATTTCTTTGGGGAGGAAATTACAATTGAGGTTTGCATAAAACAAACAGCTACTTCCATATAATGAGATTTGTAGCACTCAAAATAAAAAATACAGTATTCAGAGATGAAGAATGGCTATAGAGAATAGCACAGAAGAGGAATTTACCTTTTCTAACTACTGTAAGCAAGAAAACCAGAAGTACCTATATAATTTCATTATTTTATTTTGGGATAGCGGTGGTAAAGTGTTGCTGTTGCTAATTTTTTTAAACATACTTCATTGAAATCCAGCCCCACAAGAGTACTTTATAAAATACTTCAAAAAGACCAGGATTATATGCGGCATAGAAAAAATGATTTAACAAAGCCTGACCTTCCCATGGCTATGAAAGAAAGCAAAAGAGACTTGATAAAGTGGCAGAACTAGGAGAATGTTTTCAAAAGTGAAAATAAATCTTAAATACATAGACAAGTAAAATGTAATCTATTTCAAGAGTTAGTATAACTAGTATTTCCTTTCAAATAAGTCATCTGAGACAAGAGAATTATCATGAGCTTGAGGTCAGCCTGGACTACATGGCGAGTTTAAGATCAGTCTAGGCTATAAAGTGAAAGCCTATATGAAAAAAAAAGAAGAAAGAAACGTCAAAATCAGGAAGTGACAAAGAGAATCACTGGGGCCACTTAATAATCATGTCATGCAAAAGATGTATCAGGTGTGAGCTCCAGCCTAGATGTAAAGACCTGATAAAGGGTGGATGGTTTCTTCACTGAGGAAGCCACGAAAGAAATTTGATAATAGAACTGAAACTTGCAATAGCAAATTACAGACATCCAAGTGCAGTTAAGGCAGAACGTTCTAACCAGTATCAGGTGTCATTTACTCAAATATCTTGAAGAAACTGAAAAGCAAAAGAGTAGTATGGCAACTTGCAGCCATGAACATTTGCCAAAAACAGGAGTGGAAATTTTTCAACATAATTTATATCCATCAATTTATCAAAATCCACTAAAAATTTCTTTCAGGATTTACTTCCATAATAACTCACCCAACAAAATGAACAGCATGAAGGGGTGTGAGTCCTGGAATATATGTTGAAGAGCAAGAAGCAACCTGGCAGAAATCAACTCCTTCTCCCTTCTCTTTTCAAAGTCCTCTACTACTTTCTTAAGTGCATGAGTGCTCTATAAAAACATGTTCATCTCATAAAATTGGTGTTCTCTGGCAAATTTCTAGACATAAAATATTGTGAAAACATTGGTCTCTTCAGTATTTGTTTATGACAGGTGTTTCCTAAAGATGAAAGAACCCCTGTATCTTCAGACTCACAATAGCATAATCTTGTCAATATAAACTGAAATCTTGGGAACCTACACCTTTCTGTTGCCTTGTTCCTTTATTATTTTGTCACATAAGTAGAGCAGCAAAATGTCAGTAAAATTATGTAGTATCACTTTAAGAAGTAAATTCAAAGCTACTTCCAAGGAAGACAAGAACATGCCATGTTCATTAATGTTCACATTTTTGGTTTTCCCTTGGATATAGTTGACTTATGCAGTCATGTTCTGTAAAACTTCATTATTTTGCTGCTGTGTTGGATAACAAAAATGCCACATTTTAGATGACATTCTTTTGATAAAGCAAAAATCATTTCTTATCCACTTATGTGCTGATACAATGCTTTTTAAAAAGTGACCTTTTATTATAACCCCACACCCATGTACATATGGATAGCACTGATTGGACACAGTGGAGAAAGATGCACAGCAGAGGTGGAATTGAAGAGAGATGGAAAGAGGGGTAGATATGATCAAGATACACTGTGTACACATGAAGCTTTTGAAGAACACATTTCAATTTAAAATACATAATTATCTATAGACTTTAGCCAGTGTCCTTCAGTAGTGTGTCACCATGCAAAACATAATGTTCAAAACAGGTAATTGATACAATTTTCCTATGCTGTTTAGATTTTGCCCGTTTTACTTTGTCATTATAAAAGTCATAAATGTTGACTTATTGTAGCCACACCCACTTCTCTTATATACCCATTGCAACTACCAACTGTTATTTGTCTTCTATGTTATACTTCTGTCCTTTCAATCAAGTTATACAAATATAACTATATAGCACAGAACATTTTGAGATTGGCTTTTTAATCAAGCATAATTTCCTAGATATGCATGAGTTTTTGTTTTGTATTATTTTGATGTTTCACCTTTTTCACTTATTTTAAAATTAACATATAAAGTAATATGTTTCCCTATACCACTTTCATAATACCTTTGTTTGACGTTCTTCCTGTTTCTCAGCGTCATCTCTCAGTCTCAAGCTCTGCTCATGCTCTTCCATACCTGCCTTTCCCCTTCCATCTTCATACCACATGGTTCTACTACTTTCTCCCCCACCCTTAAAGCCTCTGGTCCTCT